ATATATATATATATATACACATTATGTGTTAATGCACTTTTTTTTAAGGTTAAACATGTATAATTAAATGTATAAAATAATGTAATAATGAAAATAATAATAGTACTCACAATATAAATATTCATATAACATTTTATTTATTATACAGAGTATTATTTACACAAAAATGTAGAAATGTATTTTGTCTTGTTCCTGTTCTTGTTTGTCAAAATGGTTACGTGTTCCCATCGAGACCAGTTCCACCTTAACAAAGAGAAGGGAAAGACCTATTCAAAATGACATGCGCCGAGGATCCGCCCACAGCCGCTCTCCCCTTTTCACTGAGAAAGTATGTCAGTAGGACAGCGAGTCCACATGGGCTTACAGCCAGGCAAAATTGAGCGACACTCGGAGCCGGCCAATCACAGACACATCTGCCCAAACATAAACCAATAGGCTGTCAGAAGTGGCAGGGAGGCGGAACATCTGCATTATTAGACTGAGCAGCCCTGAATGGCGTGTTTGTGGAATGTTTGCAGACGAAGGTTATATAACACTACAGAGAGCGGTATGGGAGGGGCACCCAAGGGCTTACAGATTTTTCCATTGCATGCCACAGTGTATCTTGGTCATTGCTTTCAGCTGACAGAGCTAGAAAGACAAAATGGAGGATGTTTTTTTCCTACTTAGCGTGTTTTTGCAAGCTTAGTTTCTTCCATTCCACCGTTATATGCAAAATATAAAAATATAATATAATTGTGTTACTATCACAAAACACATTTATTTATTTTTTCATTCATTGATTTATTCATTCTGTCTATATAAGAAGCTCATTCTATATATATATATATATATATATATATATATGGGAAGTTGATGCTTGACATTTTTATGAACTTTTTTTTTATCTATATGAAGATTTTAGGTCAAACAGTTATCATTAAATATATAAAAACACATTTCTTTATTTATTTAGTTAATTTATTTTTTCATTTATTAATGCATTTACTTTTTATTTATTTAGTATTTGTCAATAATTAAAGACTTGTTTACATATACAGCTCATTTTGTCTCTCATAGTTGAGGTATACCTATGATGAAAATTACAGGCCTCTCTCATCTTTTTAAGTGGGAGAACTTGCACAATTGGTGGCTGACTAAATACTTTTTTTCCCCACTGTAAAAACATAAAAGTAATATAAATATAAAAATATATTTTATTGCATAATAATTGTGTAATTGTTATCACAGAGCTATTTATTTATTTTATTTATGTAGTTTTGTCAATAATAAATAATTGTTTGCATATTTAAAAACAAATATAATTAAATATAAATATGAAAATGTTTTATTGCATAATAATTGTTATCCCAAAGCACATCTTTTTTTTCATTCTTTCATTTTTTATGAATTAATTTTTATTTATTTATTTAGTTTTTGTCAATAATTAAATACTTATTTATACACTTTTTACTGTTAATTAGGAAATATTGGTTTTATATCTGTCTGCATGGAAGTCAAGCATCTAGTTTCTAAAAGTCACTACACTGTGTTCCACTGATCATATGAGTCGTATCAAGACCTCATAATACACCCTTCAGTCAGAAAATCAATCCTCTGGCTATTTCTGTCCTTCATGCCATGCAGAGCGAGAGCGATCTCCCTCTATCCGACTGTAATCTTCATTGGTTGATATTATTTGTGGTGCGTGTCAAAATGATGTCAGAATCAGAAAGAACTTTATTGCCAAATAAGAGGAATCTGTCTTGGTGACAGAAACTTCCAGTCAGTGCACGTACAGGATGACAAGTGACAAGACACAGATAACAAAATAAAAATAAGTGAGTAAAAATAAATATGTAAAAACAATACACAATAGACAAAAAGACAATAGACAGTATATTGTATGTACAGATGTGCTATATACAAATTATGCAAGCAAATGTGGATAGATGTATGATATATTAAATCAATAACATACATATAATAAATGTAAGTATAGAGAGTTGGTTATTGCACATATTTTATTGCACAGTAGATGTAGATGGCCTGAGGAAAGAAACTGGTGCTCAGTGCTCTGTAGCGCCGGCCAGACAGTAACAGTTCGTGGAAGTGGGCTGGGTGTGAGGGGTCCAGAATGATTTTGCCTGCCCTTTTACTCACTCTGGATGAGTACAGATCTTTGTGCATATGTGCTTTTCTGTCATGAAGTGTTTTTGCTTTTAATGCTTAAAACGATGTTTGTTTGTTTTTTTTCTTCCAGCTCAAATTGAGGTTATACCATGTAAAATCTGTGGTGACAAATCCTCTGGGATTCACTATGGCGTTATTACATGTGAAGGGTGCAAGGTAAGAATTCTGCCATAATACCCTAATGATTACTATATTATCTTTTCTTTTTGTCTTACCCTAGATGTGCACTTTCTATAGTTCAGTTCAAGTCATGCAAGCAAAACTATCCTTTTGTGCTCTGTCCCTCCTTATCTTTTATCCTGATCTTTTTTGTGCGCATCTGTTTTCTGGGTCAGTATATATGACTATATATGTTCATCATGCGGCGCCAGGGCACACCTATGAAAGCCGCACCTGATATTAACCATCCTGTATGCTGAGGTAACCACGTTTCTGTTTTGCAGGGTTTTTTTCGACGCAGCCAGCAGAACAATGCCATGTACTCGTGTTCACGGCAGAGGAACTGCCAGATCGACCGAACCAACAGGAACCGCTGCCAACACTGCCGCCTGCAGAAGTGCCTGGCACTCGGCATGAGCCGTGATGGTGAGCGCAAGTCTAAATGCCCAACAAAAACTGAATATTAGGAACCAGGACTCAAATATTAGTACTATATGAGGAGAGGCAGGGTCAAAGGGCAGCTGAGTGGGACTTCATGTCAACAATTATGATTTTTGCAACTACATGGTTTTATTCAGTCACAATTTGAGCCTGATTGGATGATCGTGATGCGAAAATGTGAAGAACTTGTGGATGATCTCATCAAATTCAAATACCTGTATCATCGTACATTTTATTTATGGATAGTCTTAAATCAGGACTTAGTGGTCTATGTATCAGATGACAAATATAATGTTTCTTTTGGTTTAATGATTCAATGTAATAGAATTAGAAGTGTGAATTTAAGACCCCATATTTTGAAGATAAATTAAGAGCTATTTGTTTTCACCCTAGAAATAAAATGCATCTATTTATTTATATAAACATCTATACTGTATATTTGTGTGAGATATTTAGTTGAGAAATTATATTTTGAACAAAACAAAAGAAGAAGTCAGGGCTATTTGGCTTTTTTTATATATATAAACATGCAACAATTGTATTATACTAATGCACTTTGCAGTTAAATTTTTTATAAATACAATATAATTAATGTTTAGCATTAATATTTTGCAAATAAAAAAATACACAACTAAACAGTCATATGTACAGTAATAAATATAATAAATATGCACTACAGTTAAGTAAGTTTGGGGTTGGTAATGTTTTTGAAAGAAACCTCTTATACATTTAATCAAAAACACTGTAAAATTTATAATATTTCAAAATATGTTCAGTTGTCATTATTATTATTATTATGCAGTCATTCTAATATGCTGATTTGCTGATCAAGAAACATTTTATTTTTCTTCTTATCAATTTTGAAAACAGTTGTGCTGCTTAATATTTTTATGGATACATTGTTTCATGATTCTTTAATGAATAGAAATTTAAAAAGAACAGCATTTCTTTAAAATAGAAATCTTTTTCTTATAAATGAAAATTATAAATGCCACTTTTGATCAGTTTTTGCATCCTTACTGAATAAAATATTTTATTTCTCCAAAAACAAATCTGATCTCAAACTTCTGTAAATAAATACTATAAATTATATAAATGATATTTAAATGATACTAAGTGAATATGTAATACTTTTTCTTTCTGTAGCGGTGAAGTTTGGCCGAATGTCAAAGAAACAGCGGGACAGCCTGTACGCGGAGGTGCAGCGGCACCAGCAGCTGTCTCAGGAGTGTCTGGCGGGTTTGGGTGGTGGTCTGGCACCACGTGACCGTGAAGAGATGGATGAAGACATCCCGCACAGCCGGCCGTACAGCAGCGGAGGCTCCAGCTCCACCCTCAGCGACCTGGACGACATCGCCACGCTGCCTGACGGTTTGCTGTTTGACCTGCCGCTCACCCCAGAGGAGGCGGGCGAGTACTGCACTCTGGAGATGCTCGGGGGCGGTGGCGGGTTTGGGAGTGCTGGAAGTGGAAGTTCGTCCAATCAGAGCTCTCCAGAGCCCAGCGCTGTAGATTTGGCGGAAGCAGCAAGGGTGAAGCATGAGTATATTCTGCCTGAAAACAGTCTTTTTACGCACTCTTTCCTGGGATCTCTACCAGACAACTGCTCTCTACATGACATAGGTGAGCTGTCATTAGAGATTTTCATTTTATGATATTGTCCTTTATTAATTTTAGTCATTATGCTAATATAACAAGGATAAGTTTTTTTATTTTATATATATATGTTTATTTAATTATATTTATTTATAATTAGTCAATTTTATAATCGATCTATATTAAAGGGGTCATATGTTGTTGCTAAAAAGAACATTATTTTGTGTATTTGGTGTAATGAAATGTGTTTATGCGGTTTAAAGTTAAAAAAACACATTATTTTCCACATACTGTACATTATTGTTTCTCCTCTATGCCCCGCCTTTCTGAAACGCATCGATTTTTACAAAGCTCATCAGTCGAATATCTCTTTGGGTTTGAGACTTTAGTCTTTGCAATTTTAGGGATCTTATCTATTCACGAACAGCTTGTAACACTCCAAAGAGAAAGGAAAACTTGAAATCGCATCATATGACTCCTTTAAATGTACCTATAGGTGTACTATATCTATATAACATTTTTATACTATTTGTTTGTTATATCTGTTTGATATATTTATTTATATCTAGATACACAGATACTAAAGAAAAATGTGTTCATGTGTTGAATTTCTGTTTAGAGCGAATCACTCAAAATGTCGTGAAGTCTCACTTGGAGACGTGTCAGTACAGCACAGAAGAGCTGAAAAAACTAATCTGGAACCTCTACACACCTGAAGAAACCCGCAGCTTTCAGCTCAAGGTACACCATTATCATATTAGATGATGTGCCCCATCATCATATTAGACAAATGCATAAATAGATGGTCAATCATGTGACTGCGCTCGCTGATTTGTGTCTCTTTGTTAACGGATGTATTAACAATCTCTGTGGATTCAGTCTGCAGAATGGATGTGGCAGCAGTGCGCCCTGCACATTACAAACGCCATCCAGTACGTCGTGGAGTTCGCCAAGCGCATCTCTGGATTCATGGACCTCTGCCAGAATGACCAGATCATCCTGCTCAAAGCAGGTCAGTGCTGCCTTTGTCTCACACGGATTACAGATGACTAATCCCAGATTATACGACAGATTTCTCACTCGCATCACCTTATCCACTTCTGATGTGGCCCTGGGCGGCCGTTCAATCTCTTTATTAGTTTAATCACATTTAGTAATGTTCTAACACCATTCAAGAACACTCTGTTTCATGAGCATTGTCTTTCATGCTACATCTAGAATACTCTGAGAGCAGATATTGACATGTAATTCAGATAATGGCAAATGCAAACACACCCACAAAATTTGTGTTGAGTGCAATTTGTCATGCAGATTGTTTGGTTGTGAAGGATGCATTGTGATCCAAACTATGGGAGCTTATTTCTGCCACCAAATAAAAAAATAAAAAAGGCTATTGTGACTTTTTATCTCACTTTTTTTTTCCTTTCAACTTTTAGTTTATATCTCACAAGTCTGACTTTTTTTCAGAATCGTGAGATATAAACTCAGAAATGTGAGGAGTAACAAGTAACAACAAAGTAACAACTAGCTTATTTGTGCTAAGGAATTTAAAAAGGTAGGCTAATTGTGACTTTTTATCTCACAATTCCAAAGTTTTTTTCTTGAAATTCTGAGATTGTATTTCACAATTCTGACTGCTTTGTTCAGAATCGCGAGATATAAACTCATTTGTGGGGGAAAAATTCAGAACAACCTTGTTTCCATTAAGGAATAGGAAAATAAAGTTAATTGCAACTTTTTTTACTCACAATGTTCTTGTACTATAACATGTATATAGTTTATATACATGTTGTAAACTCAAATTAAGACTTTCTTCTCAGAATTGTGAGTTAACATCTTGCAATTCTGACTTTTTTTCTCAGAATTTCGAGGGTAAAAAGTCAGAATTATTAGATAAAAATTTTATTTTTTTAAATAAGTTTCCATACCAAACACCTGAAATAATTATTTTTAAAATACCTGTGTGCTCGACTGCACTGTAGTTGGATATATGCCTGGATAGAATGCACTTATCCATTATTTTACCATCAATTGATCGTTTTCTGCTTCCAGAGTTGTTAAAAATGTACATAGACACAATACAAAAACTTAATGCTCATGCAAAAGTGATATTTCAGAACATGTAGTGGCTGGTGAAACTGGATTGTGCGTGGTTACAAAAAAAACCACAGGATTCAGTTCCGTCTGTGTGTTCGATCTTATATTTGATACTTGCACTAATGTTTGTCTCCTCTTGTGTTTGTTTCTACAACATTCTGTCTACTTCTACTCTTTGTGCTTACTGTATGAAAAAACACTTCACTAAATTAAACTCCTTTTTCTTAACGTCATTTGAAACAATCACAAACACAATGACTTTTCATTTGGATAATGTTTAATGTTCTCATATTTGGAGAAAAATGTAAAAAAAAAAATTTGTCTGTATTTTTTCACAGTGGAGCATATTCCTGCTTTTCCTTCCCCCTCCCCTGTACTCTTTTTATGTTTTTTCCCCTCTATTTTTCTCTGTCTGTTTTTCTTTTTGTCTCTGTCCTCTGTCTTTTCTGCTTCCCCCCCCATTACGTTTTTTGACGCTCTCTTTCTCTCTATTACTGTTCCAGGATGTCTGGAAATCCTGCTGATCCGAATGTGCCGTGCTTACAACTCTTCAAACAACACAATGTTTTTTGATGGCAAGTTCGCCAGTCCTCAGCTCTTCAAAGCTCTCGGTGAGTGTCCTGATATGTAAAGAATATCATGCATTTTATGGCTACTATTTCAAAAGTATACAGTATACTCTGAGAAGTTATTAGTAACACTTGAAGCCTTTATGTTTAATGCATTATAAAAGTATTCATAATATACATTGTAATACATTATATCTTTTCATAAGTAATTGTATCTAATGTTAATATGCATTATAATATTTGAAGGTTTGTTTGTCACGTGTTTTAATGCATTATACTTTCTAAATGTGTAACAGTGAATAGATAAGTATTATAATGTATTATAACTGTGGTTACAATTACTCATGAAATCATACAATGCATTATAAGGTGCATTACAAGGCATAATTAATGCATTAAAACTACTTTTACAAAGCATTATATATAAAGGCTTTAAGTAAAGTGTAAACATAGAATAGCTATGGTTGACCTGCTATATTTGCTAAAATGTGCAATATACAACACATTCATACTGGGTTCAGGCATCCCATAATTTAATGCACTCAATTTTACTTTCCAGATGCAAACTAGATGAAATCTGTGAACTCAGAATAGCATGCTAACATACTACTTTATTATTTATATTACTGATACAGTTTTACACAAAATTGTATTGCAAATGCAAAATAACATTTTTGGGAGAATAACTAGATACCCTTGTGAAACTAAACATGCAGGTAAGATTAAGTAGTGGTTAAGTATCAAATGTAATGAGGTCATGTGATAACAATGTAGCAGTAAACTGCTATTTGAAATTTGTACAGTTCCATAATGTGAAACAGTTTGGAAAAAAACTAGTAGGCAGCATTCAGTACTCTAGTATTCCACATCAAACACATCCTCTTTACCTTATAATGCAAAATAGCAGCAGCCTCTTAAGAGCAAGAGCAGAAGCGTCATGAATCAATAAGCCACAAGAGCTAATGGGTTTTTAACCCAGTTAGTGAATACAAGTGATGCTCGGGTGAGTAATAGCTCATCGAAGTTAAATGGAAGCATTGCAGAAAGCAATCTTGCCTCATAATATATCAAATAAAAACATTTATTTTTGGAAGAAGTTGGTAGAATTATTTGTAGATTGTACCACTTCTTTTTATTAGATTTTTTCAAATTGTGTATGTTTAAAGCATGACATGAAATTCATCCTATCTATTTTCTGAATGCATGTTATAGATTTTGTAAACAATTAATCCATGCATGTTTAATCAAATGTTTTATTTTTTATAATGTTTAATTAAAATATCATAACTGTGTCTTCTGAAAATAACGAACATATTTTTAGTGATGTTTGGTGATGATCTGCAATGTTCATGTTATAATAAAATGCACAATACAATCATAGAGGCCAACTATGATATTCATGATAAAGCAAAGCTTGTTGTGCTTTATTGCTTAAGTCTGTGTTATTCTCACAAATAACTTAAAGCTTTGTACCCAGAACATCTTATAATTTCCTTCATAATTATTGGAACCCAATAGATCCATTAAATCATTTCATGCTAAATAAAAACAGATTGGTTCTGTGCAAATTATGGCCCTCAATGGAAATGTAATCTGTTTCTCCATCTTCAGCATGGTAACCAGCATATGCATGTCTTTGTAGGGTGTGATGACCTGGTGAACGCTGTCTTTGAATTGGCTAAAAGTCTGAGCCGTCTTCAGCTGAGTGAGGAGGAAATGGCTTTATTCAGCGCTGCGGTCCTGCTGGCTCCAGGTGAGACTCTCTCACGCATGTCTGCTATCAATTTAGAGACTCGTTTTCTGAAGCAAAGGTTTATAAAGCTGCATTTATAGACTCTCAGAAAAAAATATAATATGTGCCATGCTCAGACTTGCACACAAGAATAAAATGAGACACATCCTCACAGTCTGAAACCTTTGCTCTGTGTTTGTCTGGCGCTCAGATCGGCCGTGGTTGACTGAGTCTCAGCAGGTGCAGAAGCTCCAGGAGAAGGTTTACGTGGCTCTTCAGCACAGCCTGCACATGAACAGAGCCACTACTGAGAAACTGGATAAGGTGATAAACCGCACACACACAGCTCTTTACAGATAAACAGATGAACTTCAAGAATATTTAAGAAAAATAAATTAAATAATTAAAACACTAATATTATGAATCAGCCAAGGAGAGTAATAAAACTTTCAAAACTAACAAAACATTCTCAGTCAATTAATTTCAAATCCTAAAATCATTTGTGATTTAGTGAGTTATTAGATTAAACTGATTTGTGAATTTGTTTGACTGAATCTTTAAGAATCACTAGTTCTGCACACCCAGAAAACAAACAGAAAAGAAATATTTCATTTCATCCACAGTTATATTATATATTATGTTATGTATAAATAAAAAAATAAAAAATAATTTACGTATTTTAATGGTTAAGACTGCACAGATGAGCAAGCTATATTATCACCCACTGAATTTAAAATAATAGTTATTTCAGCCAATAGAATCATATAAGGTCAAATGGATTTAACACAATTGCATATAATTAAGTATATATACTATACTCAAGTATATATATATATATAATGTCTATTCAGTTCAAATTGTCACAATTTGCAAAATATACAATATATGCCATTCAAACGTTTGAGGTCAGTAAGATTTTTTTTAAAGAAATTAATACTTTTATTCAGCAAAGATACATTAAATTGGTTCAAAGTGACAGTAAAGACATTTATGGTGTTACAAAAAAAGTTGTATTTCAGATCACTGCTGTTCTTTTTGAACTTTCTATTCATCAAAGTATCCTGAAAAAAGTGTATCATGGTTTCCACAAAAATACGAAGCAGCACAACTGTTTTCAATATTGATAATAATAAGAAATGTTTCTTGAGCAGCAAATCAGCATATTAGAATGATTTCTGAAGGATCATGTGACACTGAAGACTGGAGTAATGATGCTGAAAATTCAGCTTTGCATCACAGGAATAAATTACATTTTAAAACACATTTCAAATAGAAAAAGTTAGAAAATAGAACGTTATTTTAAGTAGTAATAATATTTCACAATATCACTGTTACATGTGGCTGTAGTATTAAGTGCACGACGAAGGAGTAGAGTCCAAGGAAGTAATTTTAATAAATCCACAGGGAGAACAGAACAACCACATGGGCACAAAACATCAAACATCATTAATATAGGACAAAGAAACTGAGGAGCGTCCTCACGCCGAACAGTCCAATGGAGGAGGGAGGGTGGGGGTTCAGGAGGAGGACGAGGCACAGGCAAAAGGGAGAGGACACAGTCCATAGAGCCAGGGCAGAGCAGACGGTGGGAGAAGCCAGGTGGAGATCCAGACCGCAGCCAGGACAGCGGCCCACCGTGGAGTCGCTGGAGGGAGGAGCCATGGTGGAGGTAGGGCTGGCGACACCAGGGGGCCGACTGACAGAGATGGAGCTGAGGAAAAGGAGCCCAGGATGGAGACGAAGAGCCGCAGAGCCAGGGTGACACCGAGGTTCCGGAGGGCCAAGGCGGAGCAGACAGCTCATGCGAGCAAGGCGGAGGCGGGTATCCGGAAGACCGCGTTGGAGCTGGAGGGACAAGGGAGCCTGGTAGAGCGATTGGGATGACGGGCAACGGTGGAGATGAGGAAGCTAGGAACCAAGGCGGAGCCGATGGGTCAAAGGGCCGAGGTGGAGTTCAGGACTCAGAGGTCGGAGGCGGAGATAGGGGATCCTTACGCCAAGGTAGAGCTGGAGACTGGCAGACCAGAGGCGAATGGATGCCTGGATGGTGCTGACTGAGGGTGAGCTAAGAGACAGAGGAGACAGGGCTGAGGAACTGGCTGGTTTTAGGAGAGGAGGTGGGAGAGGGGGGCTGGGAGGGAACACAGGAGAACAGGAGCTGGGCGGAACCAGCAGAGACTCAGGAGAATTGGGTATAACCTCCCCAAATCAGTCTATTAAATCCACATTAAAATGTCTTTTAGTTCCTCATAATATCCAGAGGCCAGTTTCAGCTCACCCTCGGCGGCGGGCGTGTGGGCGGGGCTTTCCTCCAAGCCGTCGATCTCCACTATTAAACCCACGGCGATACATGGTGTTGCCGGCTCACGCACCTGGTCAGATGTGCCTTGAGGCTCTGGCTCCAGGGCGATGATCCACTCTGTCGCTCTTGTTTGCGATAACTCATCGATTGCGGCAAGCTCTGGCTCTCCGTCTGCGGTGGACTTGGGCAGACGCGCCATATAGCGTGATGGTGATAGCTGGCTGGGCTCTGGATCAGGAGTGAGGCTGGAGATGTCCTCGGCGGGGCAGATGGAGAAATATAATCCATTATTCTCCAGCACCTACTCCACAAATGCAGCAAAACTCCCTTGAGGACCATCCACGAGCAGGCTAGCGCAGAACCAAAAATCTCACCACCTTCCCGGCCCGCTCGCTGTGTATTTTCTATCAAGTCAGCCTCAGCGAGCGGTCCGGGAAGGTGGTGAGATTTGCCAGGTTGATAAAGTCCCTTGTGTGGTCCTCAAGGGAGCAATCTCCCTGCTCCAAGCATAGGAGTTGAACTGCTGGCAGATCCATCAGGGAGGAAGGAGAAAAATAAAACAAAACAAACAGAAATCCCATTACATGTGGCTGTAGTTTTAAGCACACAATGAAGGAGTAGAGTCCAAGGAAGTAATTTTAATAAATCCACAAGGAGAACAGAACAACCACATGGGCACAATATCAACATCAAGCATCATATGAAACTGAGGAGAACACAGGGCTTAAATAATTGGAGGAAAGTAATCAGTGAGAACAGAAACAGGTGTGGAGTTCATTGACAACTAATGCCGAGTTCACACTGCACGATTTTAGCCCGATTTTTCACTCGCCAACAGGTTTTGCGAAATCGGTGCAAAATCGGTGCTCGTTCACGAGAGTGACAATCACGCAGTGTGAATTATCAAAGACGCGATCTGAAGGAAATCACCGACACGTCGACCCCCTCGAAAGCAATTGGGCTATTTTCAGGCTAGTTTTGAGTAGTAATTGGGCGGGTTTTGTTGTTTTGAAAACCTGGCAACCCTGCACCAGACAGAGCTGTCGGCGATTCTTCCTATTGTAAAGTCATGCAGTGTGTAACCTCCTGTCGTCGTTCCATCGTGCAGTGTGAACACAGCAACAACTGAATGCTACCCCAGATAGTCGTTCAGTGTGAAACCAACAGTGATGCGACGTCTTTGAAAATAGTGCAGTGTGAACTCGGCATAAGAGAATAGATCAACAAGGGAACTCAGGAAAACGGGAATACAGAAACTAAAACAGCAGACCTGTTACAATCAGAGTTTTACTGTATTTTTGATTGAATAAAGAAAGACTTCTTTCAAAAGCATTTTTAAATATCGTATTGACCCCAAACTTTTGAACAGTAGTATAACTTCTGTTCCATGGTTTGGTTGATTTGCTACTACTAAATAGTCATGCAAAAAGTGTGTTTGTGCACTAATCCAAAGGTCAGGCTTAAAACATCCAGTAGTTTTAGTTTGTTGTCTAAAGTGTCTATCTATTGTGTTTGCAGATGGTGTCCAAACTACCGCAGATGAAGTCCATCTGTAACCTGCATATTGACAAGCTGGAGTTCTTCCGCCTGGTTCACCCAGAAACAGCGTACAGCTTCCCGCCTCTGTACAGGGAAGTGTTTGCCAGTGAGATCAACTTCCCTGACTCCACCAACAGTTAGAGAGTGGGAAAAAGAGGGAGATAGTGAGGGAGAGAATGACAGAGAGTGTGAAGGGGAAATTACGAGTGTGTTAAGGCAAGAGATGCCATGACGTGTAAAAAACAGCATTTCAAACAAACACATTTTAAAAACCTCCAGGGAGAATCCTCAGTCTGTTGCAGCACTATTAGCATACATACACACACACACATAATACACTGCAAACACACACTTAACCTGCTGCGCAAATGCTCATACACAAACATAGGGGCCAACAAAATATTTCAGATTCGACAACACACAAAACATTGGGATTATTCGTATTGGAATTATTCCTGGAGTTGCGCTCTCAAATCCATTTTTATTTTATGGAAACACTCTGAAATGATCTTTTATGTACAGATGTATGCTTGCAAAAGCCTTTGTCCCAACTTGTTGATGTCTAAGCATGGCACTATTCCTTCTGCATCTGTACACAGATATATTTAAAGGAATTTTTATAAGAGGTTTTATAATTGTAAGAATTTTACAGGATCAAACTCTCTTCCACGTGAACATTCAGGAGAGCACAACACTTTTTAATGAAGCGACTACAACCTACTAGGTGACCGTCACCCGTTCTTCCCCAACAAATCACTCTTAAAGCACTAATATCACTTTTTTTCCCCTCCCTCCCCTCATTTTTTCACCCTCAGACGAGTCATGAATGTATCCCAAAAGCACTTATTTTGATATGAGACCGAATGTACACAATGCACTTTTGGTCTTGCGTTATGCTTTATGAGACTTTATGACAATCCAAAAGAAAAAAAAGAAAAAAAAACTGATGTGCCCAGATTGTTTATTAAAAATGAAGGGACCAATGTTACAAGTACTACAGGAAAGTTCCACATTAAATACAAGTCAAGCTCATTTAATCAATAATAAATAATCATTTTGAAATGAATATATTTAGAACAAATGTTTTCAAAAATAATTTTGAATCATCTCAGAAATGCACTTATAGTGGAAGTCTATGGGGCAGCTGTACAGTTATAAAACAGCTGTTCATAACCTTACAATTCATAACTGTATCTGATAGCATCTGAGTTTAACTTGTATTTAACCTTGAATATTCCTTTACAGATATTAAACAAACCAGTTTTTAGTCATCCACCTGGTAATCATTATAAGCGTGCAGTCATGGCCAAACGTTTGTGAACGCCTTGTTTTGTTACAATAACGCAACGGCAACGACAAAATCCTCACTTTAACAGTTATTTACATGACCTCATACCTCATATTCAGCAGAATTTGTCACATTTAGTACAGTATTAGACTCTAGTAAACAACTTCTTATATGCAAAACATATTCAACAGAATACAATCTTATTTATAAGGGGTTTGCAAATTATGGCATGGCTATAAAGAATAGAGTGCATTAGTGCCCGTCCAATTTTTCAGCAGTGTTGGTTTTGGAAGTATTTTTACCTAGTAATTTTTTTCCCCATAGCGATTTGGTCTTTGTTAAAGCGTTACAAGCCATGAACCAAACCAACAAGCTACAAGGAGAAATACAACATTACAAACTTTTAGTTGAAGCAAAAAAAAAAAAAAGGGGGCAAAAACACAGGTACAAGATTGTATTAATGTCTTTAGTGAGGGGGAAAAACTACAAACCCATGAAGCACTGCGATTGACAATCGAGTTAATGGTGGTGAAATAAAAAACTATTTATTTAAAGTTTTGGATTGAATCAATAGAAACGATATATTTTAAGTTTATTTCAAAATATGCACGCACACACATAAATATTTAAGTATTTTGACTGACTCGTGTCATTTGCGTTCCCTGCAAGCTCTTTTGCTGAGATTTGCTGGGTGCGACTCTCTGATTGGTGATTGTCTGCACAGCATCATGGGTAATGTAGCTTCTCAGTACAAATTCCACTGTTAAATATGACTATTTTAAACATAAGCTAAAATAATAAAAAACAGATGGTTGTAACAAAAGAATATACTATCAATTAACAACCTCGCTGCTCACAACAGTTCTGTTATTATTAAAATTTTTCAGTTTTTACTTCCGGAACCAGACTGTCACACTCTGTTGGCAAATAGAATATTTGACACAGTTGTTCCACCCACACATGCTCTTGTTTGCTCAGGCACATTTTGACAGTGTTTGGTGCTGCACCTTATTTTTTAATAAAAATTATTTTATTTTTTTTTCATTTTAATGCAATGAGAAACCTCAGTCCCACATCCCCTTCCCTTGTAAATGCCACTTTAGAATAAGAAACAGTTGAATGTTCATTTAATTTATATGGACATTTCTAAAAGATTATTTTGAATAGGAATGTAAATAAATTAGTATATTTAGTCAAGAAAGAGAAAGAAAGGTGGAGCAGGAAGAGAAATAGAAATGTTTAAAAAATGAACAAGCCAGGACTTTCATCAGCCGGCTTTTGAGTTCCTCCAGCATGTGCATGGGAATACCGGATCCAAAAGATGAACTGGCATGGATTTTGTTCCGGAACTGCCCTCCATAAGTGACCCAGATGAAACACTTACAGGAGACGGACAGTTATTCCGAGCCAGGCTGGATGGCTTTTCGACGTTGTTCTCTGGGACACACACAGAGCTGGGACGACCTTGATGACCCCAGCTTCATGTTATGAGAACCTTCCTCGTATAGGATCACATGTCTGGTGGTCTTCAGATGCTAAAACATTGTTCTCACAAATTGAAAGAAAAGAACAAGAGAAATAGAGTTCAATTCAATCAAAGCTCAGTCCAGCAGGTTTCGGGTACAGATACGCCACATGCAACTTGTGGCCAGTGTGGTTTCTGTTGTATTATTTTGTAAATTGTTGATTGCATCTCCTTTTGTCCATTTCTGTGACCCGGATCTCATCCTTCCATCATATTTTTCCATACTCATGCACCAAAACATAGCTTCGACTAGACATAGAGTCGAGGTTCATGGTATTGTTTATAGTACTACAATATATACCACACAACTGGTTTTAAGTGCTTCAGATGAATGAATGAGAGCTTGTATTCTGTATGAAAGATGAAATATGGTGTTGTATCTCGGTTTTTAATGAACAAGTGGAAATCTGTCTTCTTTTTGTGTGCCCAACATTACAACCTCTCACGTCAAGGAGTGTAGCCTGCCCTTGTTTCAGAATGAGAAGTATGGGAGTTCTGTCTGTGTAATGTATTTTTAAATGTGTTGTTTTGACAATCCCCACCTCTAGGCCTTTGATGCATGCCTTCCTGTTAAGACAAAATTGTGTTTGTCTCATTCAGTCACCCTTTAAAGCAATTTCTGTGGAAATTTCTGTGGAAAGCAATGTATTTTATTTTTGTAGAAGAAATGTTTCTGCTCTGTGTGTTTCACACAAAAAAAGATTTATTCTCAGGGAAATGAAAAAAAAAGAAAATAAAAACAAAAGATGGATTTTATTCTTGAAAAAGAAATGTCCCTTGTGATTTTTCTGCTTCACTGACCTTTATTTCAGTTCAGTTCAATTGAATCTCATAACAATTATTGTAGTTAAGTATGTGTATAAATAAAAATATAAGTTAATATATATATATATATATATATATATATATATACACACACACACACACACACAATATTACTTATATGTCACCCTGACTTATCAAAAATAATATATAATGTAGGCGAGGACATTATATTATATATAGAGGTAGGTGAATTAATGCTGTCTGACTGCTGTTTTTAGTCTGGTTAGTGTCTTGTTTTAGTCTTGAAAATGTTCTTGAACACTGGTAATTAAAGTTTAACCCGGAAGCTGGAGAGTTTGTATCTGCAAGCTGCGCAACGCACTCAATCTGCCAATCAGATCAGATAGTTACGCCTCATAATTATTTTTCTGTTGCCACAGATACATAACAAAATACATGTACAATCATATAAAATACGCAATTTAAATACATTACAAAAATAACTTATAAGAACGCCACATGTTTAGAGCTGGAAGCTTTTGAAACATGCTTCAGTGCGAGCGATGGAATCCTGACGTCGACAACCAGTCGACCAATCAGAACTCTCCTTTTAAACGCGACGCGTGTATGGGAGCGTTCTAGTTGCGTCGCGTCGCGTCGCAGTGTAGATGGGGTGTGACGTGCACACTGCAGGTTCAAACTCTGGCCGATCAGGAAGAAGAGATTGCGAGAGTGTTTTCACAGCTCTATAGAAGCCTAGAGTTTAATTTTAAAATATCGGGTGAATTAAATTACATCTAAATTTGTTAAAGCGAAAGGATCCGACGCAAAGATGTCTGTTGCCGGACTAAAGAAACAGTTTTATAAAGCGAGTCAGGTGAGTGTTTCCACGTCAGCTGGTAGGCTACACGAGTGTAAATTTACAGACTAGATACAACAATACACAAATAATATACCGCAAGTTACAAAGAAACATTTATTTTGTCAGTTCAACTTGTTTTGATTTATTTCATCAAAACAAGTTGAACTTCATCCGGGTCTCCTCTGCTCTTGTAAAGTAAAAGTTAAAACATGGCTGTGTTTCAAAATGTAGTGAGCGCCCTACCTAGACAGCATATTCGGCCATCAGACTTGCGTTTCGAACGCGTTTAAGCAGGCATCTCATTAGATTTTGAGACACAATCTTTATTTTTATAATTTTTTTATATCTAAAATTATTATATAATATATAAGAGTAAACGCTTTGAGTTGCAGCATAAAAACACAGATGTGTCACCCAGTAGTTTGTTTTCACCGCCATAGAACTACAAAAGAGCATCAATACAAACACTTCATGACTAAACCAAGCTCATATATTTCCAAATGAAGTGAAGTCTATAAAGTTAGATCTAAAAATATTTCCTGTAAAGATTTTAATAGTCAGGTACACAGGCTATGACACTCTATATCAAAGAGTTAACAGGTTGCTTTAATGCAGAATCATGACTTAAACATTGCAACACATTGCTCCTTACACCACCTCAACCAACATGTGGTCAACAGTTCAGATTAAATTTAAAATTATATAGCCTACTGTGGGTTTTGAGCAGGAAGCACAAGTATTTTATTGGCAGAATACTCACTTTATTCAGCTGGTGTGCACTAAGGTCTGCAGATGATTCATTAGTGTTAATTTGTAATGTGCGGAGAAAACATGTTCATCCTCTATATACGAAAACATGTCCAGGTCACAGTCAAGAGGTAAAATATAAGAATGAGTATTTTGCATAAAGAAAATTAAGCCTATTTTAGGGCAATGTTTTGCAATGTGATACTGTACTCATGATGATTGTGCACATTTCCCTCTCAAATTCTCTTTACTGTAATGCAAAAATCTCATTCTAATTTCCATCATGGACATTTTACGTTGTCTTTTTCTTTATTTTTGTTACAAAATACTGTAATACAGTGATTTTTACTCTAAAGTATAGGCAGATTATTAGAAATAATCCCATAATATGCAAATACTTTTACAATTGACGCAATGTTATTTTTTTTCCATTGTATTTTATCGAACATTTGCGATGTGTTTGTAGATGGTTGACTTGAGTGAGGTAATTTGATCCAAATGCATTTTATTTTCTGTTCACTGTGAATAAAGATACTGTATTTCATTGTGTGGTTGAAAAACATCCCATTTTCAGATACTTGTGAGTCATGTGTAGAGGTTTAAGCTCATGCCAGGCAGATAAAGAAAGTGATTTTGAATTTGCTTTATTCTTTTTTTATAGCTGGATTAGCTTTTAATCCATGTCTTCTACTCCAACATAGTCATGCATTCAATCAGAAAGAGGCCTGTTTATCAAACACAGCGCAGATTAACGTTTGCACATGCAATTTCAGACATTCAGTTGTTTTTGGCATCAGCAAGTCTTACATTCCTTTACCTGCTGAAGCAAAACAAGCCTGACGTGCACCTACATGTTGCAGAAGAATCAGGCCATGCATTTTCATGTCAGACTGGAGGTCTTACAGTCTCTGAGCTTCTTTACAATAAAAACTAAAGACCGCAGGGTCAAAAATGCAGAACTTCCTGTTGTACGTAGTTACTAAAGACTATGTCATTAGTTAACAATTTTACCTTTTTGGCGTGTGCCTGTCTGTACAGAGAACATGTTCCATCTTGATCTCGTCACCGTTTGAAGTTGAATAGGATCATATTGTCTGTTTACTAGGTCTGAAAGCTGAGATATCTGTTGTCAGCTAAATTCTTGAGAGACAAAAACGTGCATACTGATTCTACTAAAAATTTTCTCACACTTATAAAGCATTTAGATGGTTCACCCCAAAATTTAAATTTGCTAAAAATGTATTCACCCTCAGACCGATGTAAATGAGTTTGTTTCTTGATCAGAACAGATTTGGAGAAATGTAGCATTCCATCACTAGCTCACCAGTGGATCCTCTGCAGTGAATGGGTGCCGTCAGAATGAGAGTCCAAACATCACAATAATCCACAAGACTGGAGGAAGCATTATTATGGAGTTCGGTCTCGTATTTTGGCCAGAAGCAACAGTTTAAAGTTAAAAACCTCGTCTTAATGACGGATTAGTTTTTTTTAGAAACACAGCTTTTCACTTCACAAGACATTAACTGATGGACAGGAGTGGTGTGGATTATTGTGATGTTTTTATCAGCTGTTTGGACTCTCATTCTGACGGCACCCATTCACTGCAGAGGATCCGAATCTGTTGTGATGAAGAAACAAAGTCATCTACAATTTAGATGGACTGAGGGTGAGTACATTTCCTTTTTTGGGGTGAACTATTACTTTAAATATATAATGGCAGGATACAATGCAACAGCCAAAGACGTCCGTCCATAGACATTTAAAAATAGTACAGACTGAATGCAAGTATGCCGTCCTTTGTGTTTGTCACTTCAGTTGCAGATACCTGCATTGCTATTTGTCCTGCTTGCTAACTGTCTCTAGCTGCAAACTAGTTATCACATTATCTGTGCAATAGAGATCCCTGCTTTGATTTCACCTGCTAGCCTTGAAAAAGTCCAACTTTGTACAGTATGACTGTTTACACTGAAAAAGTTTTGCAGGTGTGTGAGGAATTCAGTGTAGTTTAGTTTAGTCATCAGACTGGATTCTTGTTCACAGCATACATGCCCAACAAATAGATGATTTTCTTTCAGGCTATTTACCTCTTCCTCCCTTTTTTTTGTTTTTTTGCTTTAGATGGCAATTTCACTTACGGGTTGACAAGCGGGTTTTTGCGAAGTATTTACTGCACCCAATATCTCTTGAATGGTTATATCACAATATCTTTGAACTGAACTGTGTTTCCATGCGGCCTCTTATATTGTGCATTTCCTATTGTGTGATGCCTTTGTTCCTGTACGTTAGAAAAAAGTTGAAAAGTTGTATAAGTCATAAGTCAAATGTCAGATTTGCTGTAGGGCAGAGATAATTATGCAAATTGCAAAGTATATGACTTCCCTTTCGTACTGCATCGTGCAACGCATTATGAAAATGTTTGTAGCACACATATTAGGGTGTTTCTTTTTATTTATTTATTTTTAATTAAAAATAAGGGCTTTTTTTTTTTCAAGTATATAAAGTTAATTTCAAGCATGCAGGATTAGATATTGCTTATAAATTATACTGTTGTTTTAAATTAAAAGCAAAACAAATTTCACAATAAAGCTCTGAAATCTCACAATCAGTAAAATCACATATTAAAGTATTAAATACAACTTCTACAGAACACAGAAAATGAGTATGTTTGTAACCTTGCGGGTTATTAATATTGGTCATCATATCAGTTACCAGCCATTATAAAAATTGAATTCTTGTAAATACTCAGGATTGGTCAAAAATCGACAATGATCAATGTATATTGATCATGTATTTGACCTCAGTTCTGATTACTTTAAATGAAAACAAGTGTTTTAAGATGAGAGTCATAAAACGAGATGGACTGATTTGTGTAACTGTATTTCATTTCTCATATAGAAAAGTGATCTGTCTGATCATTATCTGTGTCCACACCGACATCTGAATCATATTAGGCGGCTAGCGACTCGGAGACGTACAAAGAGCCACTGTATGAAGGGCTGTCAGGCAAAGATGCATGTGTTCCTCTCTGAAGACTGGGTGTGTGTTTTACAAACAGACCAATTATGTTCAATATTTGGTCCGTATGAGTGAAAGTCAAAGAGCCAGAAGCTTCAGAAGTTTCTTCCACATTAATTAACTTTCAACTTTAGTCTTACTTGTAAACTTGCTTCCAAAGCTATCTGCTTAAATAAACTCTCACAAACACAACTTTGTTGTTTTTGCAGCTTAAGCATGACCGGTTCTGTTAAAAAAAAATATGATGTGGAAAACATAAAAGCATCCTGATACTTTAAAAGTTAACAAAAACACTAAACAGTAACAATAATTCACTAAAATGATGATGACTGACATTTTAGTGTAATTATAATCTTGATGGATTTTGCCACCCAGGATGTGCTGTTTTTTTTTTTTTTTATATATATATATATATATTCCTTTGGGAAGATCTTGATACACAAAAGGCTTCCTGTTTACTGGAATACAATAGACCATACTGTCTGTGTTTGTGTTCGGAGAGAGTTCAGCTCATAAAGGAGGAGTGCTTTTGTGTGAAACGGAGTGAAAGCATTTGTGCCGTCCCTACAGGAAGTATCATTGACAAACAACAGAAAGAGCTCCGATGGGGAACTCCACAGGGGCCCCTAGAGTCCATTCCTGCCTGAATTTCTTTCCTTTGCTGTTATTTCTTTTTTCTCTTTTACACACGTGTTGTTAGTAGTGTTTGCTAAGGCTAAGGAGAAGTGTGCTTTTAGGTCTCTAAGTGATTTGACTTTCAGTTGTCACCTGGTGGTCAATAAAACTCTTTTGATGTGGCCTAATAAGAAATGATTTAAAAATCACCTTAGCAACTGCATAGCAATGCTTTGGCAACCACCTTCAACACCCTAGTGACATGGTGGTGAGTTTTACATGGGAATATGGAACTCATATTTTCTGGGTAAAGCAGTTTCTGAGATCTTAATTTTCATAAATTATTTTATTTAATATATTTATATAATTAATTTTAAAAAAAAATTACAAATTATTTTCATATTAATATTTCCATTTCATTTGGGCTTTTGCCTCTTTTAATTAGATGGATGTACAGGAGAGTGTATGAAATAATAGATAGAGAAGGGGAATAGACTTGGGAAATGTTGCAGAGACTTGAACCTGCAACACCCACATGAGCAGTAAAGCACAATGTATCAGGAGCAGGGTTACTCAATAAAACTAAAGCCATAAAAAAAATATTTTTGTGGCTTGAAATAACGTTAACTGAAAAAAGTATATAAAAATTTCATTTCAGCTATTTGCAAAGTTTTGTTTAAAGGGGTCGTGTGATGTTGCTAAAAAGAA